GAGGGGGAGCAGAGGAGGAAGAAGAAAGGAAGCCAACGAAACATGAACGAGAGCGAAAGGAAGCAAGCGAAAACGAAATCAAGGAGGACATAGAAATACCCAAATACTGACAAGTATAATTCTAAGGCAGCGCCTGCCGGCGGACGCTGGAAGCTCGCTGAGTAACAGGAGCCCGTCCGGCGGGCACGCCCGCAACATGCACGCGCACATCGAACGACTAAAGACAATACAAGCCTGCGGGGATGAGGACTCGAGGACACGAGGCGGTGCGCTGCAGCCAGCCAGGCTAACCAGAAGCGGCAGGGAAGGCACAAACCTCCGCAACCTTACCCGAGGTCAGTGACGACGAAGGACACCGGCGTAGTCGCTGGCGTTGATGCTGGCGTCGGTGCTAGTTTCGGTGCTGCGCCAGCGTAGGTGCTGATGCTGGTGATGACCTCGGTGCTGGTGTGAGCGCTGGTGTTACTGCTGGCACAGATGCCGATATTCGCGATGGCGTCAGTGTTGGCGCCGTCGCAGGTGCAGACGCTGGCGTTGGTGCCACTGCAATCGCTCGCTCGCATGCTGGCGTCGGGGCTGGTGTAGGCGTCAGCGTTCATGTTGGAGTTGGTGATGACAGCGGTGCTGGTGTAGCCGTTGGCGCTGGTGCCAGCGCAGGCGTGGGCATTCCTGCTGGCGTCAGTGCAGGCTATGGCACAAGCGCTGGCATTGGTGCTAGCTCGATGCAGGCATCCACGCTGGCGTCAATGCAGGCGTCGGTGCTGGCGTAGGCGTCGGCGCTGGCGCAGGCGTCGGTGATGGCATCGGTGCTGGCGTAGGCGCTGGCCTTCTTACTGACGCAGGCGTCGGTTGTCGAGCTGGCGTCTCGACACTGGCGTTGGAGCTAATGCAATCGCTGGCGTCGGCGATGACACTGACGTCGGTGATGTCCACGTTGCTCGTCGGTGCCGAAGCAGGCGTCGGTGATGACCACGGCGCTGGCTTTGTTGCTGGCGCCGACGCAGGCGTCCCTGCTGGCGACGGCGTTTGCATCGGTGCTGATGTAAGCGTCGGCATTGGTGCTGGCAACGGTGAAGGCAACGGTGCAGGTGTAGGCGACGGCGTTGGCGCCGAAACAGGTGTCACCGTCAGCTGCTGGATTAGCATCATTCACTCGTCAGCTGCACGAGCACCGTTGTGCAGATCGTCGCCGTGCCGACGATCATGGCCGCGTCGTACGCAAGAATGGTAGCCGTTTCCCTGAGCTGGCGTTGAAGCTGGCATCGGCGGCGGCGGCGGCGCGGGTGCTGGCGTAGTCGCTGGCGTCGGCGTAGGCGTAGGCGCTGGCGCTGGTGCCGCCGCCGACGCGGGCATTCATGCTGGCGTCGGTGCTGGCGCCGGTGCTGGCGTAAGCGTCCAAGCTGGGGCCGCAGTCGGTGATGGCCCTGGCGTTGATGAAGTCGCTGGCTTTAGCGCGGGCCTAGGCGCCGACAACCGTGCTGGCGTCATCTGCTGCGTCGGCGCGGGCGTTCGTGATGGCGTCGGTGCTGGAGTCGGTGGCGGCCAGCAATGAGGGCCACATTTTGTTGCAGCGCTCTCCTGAGCAGTGGCGAGACCCGCGCGGTCCCTAATGCTCCTGCGGCCTGAAGCCCCTAGGGCAAGGATGGGCTGGCAACCCCCAGAATCCAGATGTAGATTGCCTCGTCTTCTCTATTTGCAGCCACTGTGCTGCGTCTCGCGGCAAACGCATTCCATAGCTTAAGGGGGCAGGATGTGGCTTCACTATTTGTTTCCACTGTGTTGCATTGTGCGGCAGGCGCATTCTGGAGTCGGTGGGGAATAAGTTGCGTCTCCAATGCAGCCGTCTGGGCGGTGATGAATCCTCTGGTGTGCCCGCAGCGGCGAGAAAAAACTTGTTCCGCAGCGACGATGGTAATTACAAGGTAACCATCGATGACAGCTCCGTGAGTCACAACACCCCTCTGCACGAATTGTCGTAACAGCGCTGGCCGGGAAGCCGGCCAAAGCCAAGAACCACGAGTCCTGCACAAACGGAGCCAGCACGTGGTGAGAAACAAATTTAGTCCGAAACGCGTCCACCTGATTGTCAATATATCTTCTGGTATGCACGCGGTGGTGAGGAACAAATTGCGTCTCAAATGCAACCGCATGGGTGTCAATAAATCCAATGGCGTGCCCAAGCGTCTCGCAGCCATTCCAAGAGGGCGGACTGGCACCCCCCACAGGCGTTGGGCAGGGTGTCGGGCACTGCGTCGGGAGTGCGTCGGTTACGGCGTCGAACGTGGTGCCAGGCAGGGGGTCGGCAAGCGCGCCGGGAAGGCCGACGCAGTGTGAAAACTAGATCATTCCACTCACGTCTCTGGAAACGGCGACCTGGTCGGCATGAGAATCGGTGATCTGGACGACGCTGGGGTCGTCGAGTTGACCGGTGCGGGAGTCGGTGAACTGAGCGATGAGGGAGTCGGTGACCTGGTCGGCGAAGGAGCCGGCGAGCTGGTCGGCACGGCCATCGCCCCTGGGTAGCGCCTTTGAGAGCTGGTCCGTGCGGGAGTCGGCGATCTGACCGGCGCGGGAGTCGGCGAGCTGGCCAGTAGTGGAGTCGGTGAGCGGGTCGGCGAGGGAGTCGGCGAGCTGGTGTGCTCGGGGATCGGCGAGCTGGACGTCTCGGGAGTCGGCGATCTGGTCGGTGCGGGTGTCTGCCAGCTGGTCCGTACGGGAGTCGGTGAGCTGGTCGGTGCGGGAGTCCACGACCTGGTCGGCGAGGGAATCGGCGAGCCCCCTCTCTCTCTTTCTTTCTCTCTCTCTCTCTCTCTCTCTCTCTCTCTTCTCTCTCTCTTCTCTCTCTCTCTCTCTCTCTCTCTCTCTCTCCATAAATATATACATATATATATACCTCTATATATATATATATATATATACTAGAACCACGCGCGCGCTTCGCGCGCGCTTAGGTTCTAGCGCAGGCCAGTCGAGGGGCACGGAGTCTTCGTGCTGTCTGGTGTCGGTCTTCGGACGGCTCAAAGCATCTTGAACTGACTCTCGGGAACCTCGGGGGGCCTCTTGAAAGCCTGGGGGGTCTCCTGAGGGCTTCCTGGGAACCTCGGGGGGCCTCTTGGAAGCCTCTTGGGGGGCCTCTGGAGGCCCTTTGGGGCCTGCCGCGGGCGTCTTGGGGGTCTCTTCGGGCCTCTCGGGGGTCTCTTAGGGGCCTCTTGGGGGCCTCCCGGGGCGGGGGGGGCTGGAAGGTTCAGTTGGGTTTCCCGTCTTGGGCCCCTCTTGGGGCCCTTCGGAGACGCGTTTGGGCCGTCCAGGGCGCCTCTTGGACTGTCCTGGGCCCCTCTGGGGCCGTCTTGGGGCTCTCTTGTGGGCTTCATGGGCCGTCGTGGGGCGGTCTAGGGAGAGTCTGAGGTCGTAAAGGACGGTACGAAGGCCAAAAAATCGAATATGGTAAAAATGTACGTTTTACGAAGGGAACGGGGCTATTTTGCTTCCCGGGGCCGTCTGGGGGGATCTCTTGGAGGGGTCTTCGAGCGTCTTGGAGGCGTCTGGGGCAGTTCGAGACGCCTCTTGAGCCGCCGGAGACCGCTGGAGGCTGTCTTCAGGGTGGCTCTGGGCGGCCTGGGGCCGCCTGGATGGCCGTCTGGGCGCTCTGGGGGCCGACCTGGGGCCCGCCGGGGAGCGGGCTGGGCTCGACGTCCCCCCATTTGTGGTCGGGGCTGCGGCCTCGGGGCCCCCGGGCCAGGTGCGGCGTTATATGTATATATGTATGTGTGTATCGTCTCCTCCTCCTCCTCCTCCTCCTCCTCCTCCTCCTCCTCCTCTCCTCCTCCTCCTCCTCCTCCTCCTCCTCCTCCTCCTCCTCCTCCTCCTCCTCTTCCTTGTCATCATCATTTTCTCACCATTCTCTCTCTCTCTCTCTCTCTCTCACTGCCCTCAATCAGAGCCTGAAATGACAAACCGACGTATTAGACCGTGGCGGCAGCCAGGTGTATCTATGGGCATCGGCACCCGCAGGGAGGCACCCACGTCGGTCAGGCCGTTGATGTCCAGGCCCACCTCGATACTCGGCTCTGCGTCGATGTGGGTAGAGATGTTGATGGTTGGCGGCGCGCACAAGGGGGTGGCGCGAGGGGGGCGGTTTCTGAGAAGGCGAGTGACCATCTTACTTTACAGGCAGGCCTTCTTGAGGGGCCCCAGGGCTTCAAAGAGGGCTCATTGGAAGGCCGCCATTCACGCGCCACTCCCATTTCGCGCGTCGCCAAGATGGTCCAGTCCTTGATGAGGAGCATGCCGCACTCCTTGACGAAGTCGTACAGGTTGTGCTCCACGGAGTCCCATGGCATGTCTAGGATCGTGAAGTGAGAGGGCTGCGCCGTGCGATCGTACGAGTAGCCGAAATTCCACACCGAGGGGGCCGCGGTCCTGATGTAGAACTCGGGGAACGGAGTATCGATGTAGGCTTGGCCAGAGGAGAAGCTCGACAGGCCCAGGAACGGATTGATGTCTAGCAGACGAGACAGCGAGATGATGCTTGGCGTCACCTTTGCCAGAACGTGGTTCTGACGGCTCCATTTTGCGTTCACGCCGTCGCCTCCAAGCAGTTTAAACGTCATGCTAAAATTGACTGGCAAGGACACATTTATCAGAAATGAGTGCAGGGTTAACTTGAACAGGCGGATCCTGAAATCCACGTCGATCGTGTCAGCCACAGCATAACAGTCCTCGCAGACGAACAGCCCGGAGAGGATGGCCATGTTCCGCTTCTTCACGGGAGGGCTCTTTGCCCTGTCGTAGTTGAGGCCCCAGGCGATAGACTCATTGCTCTCCATGCCCGCGGGTGTGATCTTGGCCTCGTTGCAGGCGCCGGACTCATCCTGACAGCTGCAGCACACTTCCATGACCGGGTGGTGCTTCTGGCCCTTCGGGCAGCAGCAGTAGGGCCAGCACTCGTACGCGCCACTCAGGGGGCAGTTGCTCCATGTGCTCGAGCCCGGGATGGGCGTGAGGTCCGACTCGCAGCGCCTCGCGGCGGCCTCCTCCCCGCTGTACATGGACAGAACACCAGAAAACGGCATGGGAACCACCTTTCGGAGGTCCGCGCGCATTGCTTCGGTCGGCGCTGGACGCTCCTCTCCACGCCCCTGGCGCCGCCTCTGGCGCGCTCCTCGCGCCGGGAAGACAACCGCCCGGACCTCCGAAAGCTTATGTTCGTGCCGCTTCTTGCTGTTCTGATGGAGGTGTCGTAGCCCACGACCATGTCCACCATGTTGTCGCACAGGTCGGTCCAGCAGGCCCACACGCTACCCTTGTTCCCCCACCAAGATCCCTTCGGGCAGACGCACGGGCCGTACCTCGTGACGTGCCCCCGTCTCCGGCGGTGCTCCTGCAGTACCGAGCCGTCGCAGCTCCACCACTTGTGGGAGTCTGGGATGACGCCGCCCTGGCAGGCGGCCTCGATCTCCTCCTCCAGGGGAACTGCACAAACATAAACTGTTGGAGGTCCGTGCGGACTTCTTGGGTCTGCTCCGAGCCCCCTCCCTTGCGCGCGGAGCGGGCCAGGGACGGCGCCGGAGGTGCTGCCAGGGGGCTCCAGCGCCGATCCGAGATCCGCGCGGAGCTCCAGCAGTTTGTCATGATACCGTTTTCGTTTCTCGTCTAGGTGGCGACATCCGAACCCTACCCCAACCAACCATCGATTCTCCTGAATCGATGGGAGGCGGGGGTAGGATTCGGATCTCGCCGTGTGCTCGACAACCTCCGAACCCTAGTTACCCCTGCCGCCCGTCGAGTTGCCTGAATCGTTGATCGGCTAGGGGCTAGGGTGGGATTCGACTTTAGCCACGGATCTTCGACTCCTCCGTCGCCATCGGCGGGTTCAGCACAAGCTCGTGGTCGCCCTGCGGCAGGTTGTGGGCCAGCTGACGCGCGGGCGCCTGCGGCTGCCCGAGCAGCCCGCGGGCGGCGGGGGCCGACGCCGCAGCCGCGCCCGCTCTGGCTGCGCCTGTGCCGGCGCCGGCGCTGGCGCTGGCGCCGCCAGATGAGCGCCAGCGGAAGTCCACGTGGAGATCCTTTGGGGGCGACGAGATCGGTACATGTCCAGTCCCCTGGCACTGGATATGGACAGATCTCGTCGCCCGACCGAAGGAAGAAACTTACAGAAGCTTTTGGTCGTCCCCGTGGCGCCCAGTAGCGCGCCCAATCGCGCGCAAGGCAGGCATAATGCATCACCCTCACATCGCGCTGTTGCTACTCGGCGCTGCTGGGCGCTGTTGAGCGCTAGTTGGCGCTAGTGGGCGCGACTCGCCGACACACATGCAATCCAAGACGAGCGGAAACTTACGTGATCCACTATCTGACAGATCCTCGAACACATCCAGCAGGTGCGCGGGCTCCACCCGGAAGTGGTGGTGGTGGCAGCCGCCCGCGTCCGCCTCCAGGCAGTCGTGCCCCAGGACGCGGAAGAAGTTGGTAGGCGTCCCGCCCGGCAGCACTCCCGCGTCGCACCCCCAGGACGACCCCACGCGGAGCGTGGTGAGCCTGTGCGCCAGGGAGCGTCAACTCTGCCCACCTCGCCGAGCCTGGCCAGGCCCATCCTGCACCCAGGATCGTCGTATCCACCATTGGCCAGGGAGGCAGATGCACCAATCCTCACCAGAACTGTCGTCGTGATCTTTGTCATACCGTCGGCTCCATCGGCCCGGACCACTTCCCCAGGGCCAGTTTCTCATCCGAGGCCGCTTTTTGACAGCACCGTGGCCTGGTGAGGGCCCCCGGCGGCCGAAAACTGCCAAAAATCTCACGTCGCGCCTTTTTCCGCAACGAGAGGAAGTGTCACGCAGCCTCGTCCTTATCAGAGGGGTGCATGGACCGAAACCGTGCCCGAAAAGCTGCTCGGGTGCAACTGAAACCGGCGCCCGAATTTTTCCGAACGCGCCAAAGCGTGATCGAAATTCTTGGTTCGGTTTTCAACGTCAGTCACAAGTTCGGTTACACTACTTTTTTACCACGGAACACACCCTTCAGCAAGCCACGCACATCACACCCAGCGGCTCGCATTGCGAATCGAATCGCAATGCCAGTAGCAGTGTGAGAAGGAGTCGGCACGAGGACGAAGGAGGAGAAGGCAAGGAGAAGAGAGAACACACGGACCTATCGATGCGAACTCCCGCCAAGAACGTATCCGACGGAGGGGGAAGTGCTGCACACAGATCCCGGCCACTGCAAACACTCCAGCACCACTTCGGCCACGACTTCGGGTACGTTTCCGGTCACCGACCTTCGTCGGGTCACGCGCCTTTTCGCCCGGGGCCATGATCGGGAGCGGCCAAGAGGGGGGTGTCCAAGAGGGGGGGGTGCAAATCATGACCGGCGGCATGTGCGCGGCCCAGCGGGGGGGCCAGGGACGTAATGAAATAAGACGAGGCGCCATGAAATCTGGGGAGATATCATGGCCCACGCCATGATATCCACCCCCCCCTGGCCATCACCTCCCTCTTTGCCGCCCCCGACATGAGAGAAGTGGCGGGGGGTACCCCGGGATCGGCCCCGGCCTGGATCGGCGAGGTGGGTGGTGGACTTCCCCGGGCCGTCCTGTGCCTGCCTGGCCTGTGCGGCCCGAGCAGCCGCGCGCCCCGCGACCCGCCGTGGGCGTAGTGCGCGCGCAGCGCGCCGCCCTCGCAGCCGAGGTGGGTCAGGTCCTCGCCACGAGCAGTCAGCGTCGAGTCGACGAATCGGATCGCATCGAAATGTGCATCGGAGCGGTCTGCATCGGCACGGGATCGAACTCGAATCGAACTGGCTGCACCAGGATGCACAACAGCGCCATGCAAGCATCGGGCCGCATCGGACCGTCGGAATTTCGGAATCGAATCGGATCGGGCCAGCCCCGATCGACATCGAATCGGAACGATCGGATCGAAGTGGACCCTGCCTCGTGCTCGTCCAGGTTGTGCAGCGCGTGGTCGTCACCGTGCAGCAGCCTGCGCTCGGACGGACGCAAGGGAAGCCCACAGGCAGCGAGCATGTCCATCTCCACACCCTCGCGATCTGGGCTCCAGGGCGCGCCCCCGTGGATACGCGGTCGCATAGAGACTTTCCGCGCGGGGCGTCTGCCAAGAAACGCCCCACATCCATGGGGTCGCGGCCCAGAGGCCCAGCCAGCCAGGTCGTGGATACGGACATGATTCCCGCCCACGAGAATCCACCGTCTCGGAGCCGTGCCCCGGGGTCTCGAGGAGCTCCCAAGGAGTGCTGGACACGGGTATACCCTGCCCTCCTTGCGGGGAAGCGCCCACCTCCACCGTTGCCCCGATGGTCTGGGGCAGGACTTCAGTACCGGTGAATGTGGATGTTCCCTGGCACTGCTGAGGTGAAGGTCAATGCCCGCTGGGAGGCGTGGCCTGGAAGGCCAGCACGGGCAGGCCAGAGCCCTGACTGACCGTATTCGGTCGCTGGTCAGCGAGCCAGGCAAGTTGGCCACTGTGCTTGCTGTGCCGTTGGAGAGCCCGCGCGCGCACCCAGGGCCGCTCGGCCAGGGGGGAGCATGCTGCCGCGCGTGGGTTTGCACAGCGCGAATGAAGGGAAAGCAAGCTAAGCCCGCCAGTGGACAAGCCTGGTATCAGCAAGTCCGAGCATATTCGTAGCTGGGACCAGATGCGGACCATCCAGAGGCCACGCGCTGGCCATACACATGCGGAGGGTCGGCGAGCTCGGCCACAGGAGAACCGAGCGCTGGAACGGCATCTGGCTACACGTGTACCCAGCTGTCGCCCAGACCCGCCGCATCGCGTGTACCCCAGGTCACCTTGCCTTCGCACATCGCGCCCCACGATGCACGACGCGAGGAGATCTTCGCACACTCGTGAGGCCCCGCTGGAGACAGGCAGCTCTCCGGCCCAGGACGCGACGCTCGAAGCGCGACTATCTTCGCGCCCCTGGGGGTGACCTAGTGTATCCAGGTTCCTGGTTGATATGATGTAGAAGACAGGACGCCTCTTTTTGGTGGTCGGTCCGCTCTTGATGCCAACCAGCCCCCACCATGCCCTGACTCCAGTGCCTCCACATCCTCAGGCCCCTTGTTGCACAACAACAAACAAGCAACAACAAATGTTAGCCAGGGTAGACCCCAAACAGTGAGTTCTTGCAAAAAGCTTCGGTGGAGCCTAGGCGGTGCAATCAATGTGGTGCAATCTTAGTAGTGCAATCCACGTGGTGCCATCTATGGACGATGTGGTGCGAAGTAACGCGCAGCAACGCAAAACAATGCCTTGCAAAGCAATGCAAAGCAATGAAAACCAATTCAAAACAGTGCAAAGCAAAGCAATGAGAAGCGATGCACAGGGCGGCGACGAGGCGGCGACGGCGGCCACATGCTGAGCAATGCAAAGCAATGCAAGGCAATGCGAAGCAATGCAAAGCAATGCAAAGCCATGCAAAACAATGCAAAGCAGTGCAAAACAACGCACAATTGCGAAAAACGACGAAAACAACACAACCTAATACAAAACAGCGCAAAGCAATGCAAAGCATTGCAGAGCAATGCAAAGCAACGCAAAGCAATGCAAAGCAATGCAAAGCAACGCAAAGCAACGCAAAGCAACGCAAAGCAACGCAAAACAATAAAAAGCAAAAAAAAGCAATGCAGCAAAAATGCAAAGGTATGAAAAGCAACGCAAAGCAACGTAAACAAATGCGAAACAATGCAAAACAATGTCCATGTAACACAGTCCCATCATGTGTGATCACGCCACCGCCAGCACAGCGAAAGGAGTCGCACTGCCACTACAAATTACCCACACACGCTACAGCGCTTAGCAAGCCTGATGCCCGCGGTGTCCCTCGAAGCGTGCCGTCGAGAAAGTGTCAAAACAGGAGGGGGCAGGGGGGAGCAAAGCGGAGGGCAGGGGGAGGGGGGCCGGAAGAGAGAGACCACGGCGTTGTGGGCGGGAGCCCCATGGCCCAAGCGGCCATTCATAAGACCCACACAATGGCACCCTGGGCCGCTTTCTCGGCGTAGGCTCAGCCCCCAGCCGCTGTGGAGCAGCAGCTACTTGCAGGGCACCGCCGTGCCCTCCTGTCATATTTGCATTATTTGGGCGCGCGCGTGCGCCCAATGTTTGTTTCCCTATCCTGCTCCGGTCCTCTTCCTCCCCTTTCCCTGGCCTTCGTCACCTGCCTGCTGCATTGTGCGCTCGCCCGCTTGGCGCAGCCCTTTGCCTAGGCTCGGGGCTTTGCTCAGGTTATTCTGTTTTCGACTCGCGTGGGATCCTGGTGCGAGCACTTCCGTCGGCATTGGCTGTGGAGGTTGGGCTTCGCATGCGCGAGCTCTGCATTTCATCAGCTCGCTGCAAAGCAATGCAAAAAACAATGCGAAACAATGCTGAGAAATGCAAGGTAATGCAAAGCATTGCAAAGCATTGCAAAGCATTGCAAAGCATTGCAAAGCAATGCAGAGCACTGCAAAGCAAAACAATGCAAAGCAAAACAACGCAAAACAATGCAACACAATGCAAAGCAATGCGAAGCAATGCAATGCAAAGCGCGCGGCGGCGAGGCGGCGGGCGGCGACGAGGCGGGGACGGTGGCCACATGGCGGCCAGAGCGGCCCGCAGGCCCAGTTCATTCGAAAAGAGATACAACCCACTAAGTGCAAGCACCAGTTGGCGAAGAAGTAAGAAGCAGCACAAAGCAATGTCAAGCAACGCCAAGCAAAATTCGAAACCAGGCAAAGCAATGCAAAGCAACGCAAATCAAGCAATGCAAAGCAAAACAATGCAAAGCAATGCAGAACAATGCGACGAGGCGGCGACGGGGCGGCGACGGCGACCATAAGGGGGCCAGACCGACGCGCAGGCCCAGACGACGGGCGGCGACGGGGCGGCGACGGCGATCTCAAGGCGGCCAGACCGACGCGCAGGCCCAGACGACGGGCGGCGACGAAACAACGACGGGGCGACGACGGCGGCCACATAGCCGCCAGACCGCCGCGCAGGCCCAGGCGACGGGCGGCGACGAGGCGGCGACGAGGCGGCGACGAGGCGGCGACGAGGCGGCGACGAGGCGGCGACGGCGGCCACAGAGCCGCCAGACCGCCGCGCAGGCCCAGTTCCTCAGAGCAGGAATAAGAACCACTAAGTGCAAGCACTGCTTTGGGACCAATGCCCAAAGATGGCCCGAAATGGCCCCAACATGGTCCAAGAAACCTGAAGACACCTCCATGACAGCCCAGTGGACTTCCAAGACGACCCAGGATCTTAACTGAAGATGCTTCACTCAAAGGCCCCCCAGTGAGCAAACATCTGCGAGGAAACATAAGCTTTTCATGATTTGGGCCTTCTCGCCATTTGCAACCCCTAATGGGCCTCGCAGGCCTGAAGGTGGTCCCAAGAGAACACCAAGTGGCCCCAGAGCCCATAAGATAGACTCCAAAAAAGGCCGAAGAGGGCCCGCAGAAGCCCCACGTCCCCGACTTGGGCACAAACTTGTGCCCCTGCGCACCGTCCACGGCACAACAGGAGGCAAGTCGCCTTGAAGGCCTCAAGGAGCCCCCAAGAAGCCCCCAAGAGGCACCCATGAGGCCCCCAAGGCTCTCATGAGCTCAGACAAGAGCTCCCAAGAAGTCCCCGAGAGGCTCCCAACAAAAACCTCACACCGCCCAATGTGCCCAGCACTGACTTCACAAAAAGTGCAGACCCCCAACCGGACATCTTGCCCGCGATCCACCCAGCGACCACCGTTCACCGACGCGGGCTTCAAACGACAATGGAGGAAGACCGATCACCACCCAAAAACTTCCTTCTCCCCACAAGCAAGCAACAGGACAAATGTGATAATGGTCCAGTCGCAACGCATGGGAGCCTCCCATACCATCTTCTTGGCTCTTGCGAATCGACGCTAATCGACGCTAAGGCGACGCGAAACGACGATAATCGACGCTAAATCGGCGCTATCCCAGCGACTACCAGACGCTGATCGACGCTAGTGCGCTCTACAGACTGAACTGCGAGGGTACACCAGGCTCCCATGATTCACTAACGAATGATGGTGCCCCGATGGTGTCCCCGATGGGTCTTTCGACGATCCCGATGGACACCAGGCCTCTTTCGAACACGGTGGACTGCCGCGCTTTCTGCTGCCCGTGGGAGGCAGGGCGGGGTCTCCCCGGTGTCGTCCCGTCGCGGCGCCCCAACGATGACCCGACGGCGCTCCGAGCCCGCTCTAAACGGATTTCTGTTCGGCGGCATCCCAGTGATGCCCCTGTGGGCCGCGGGTCGGAGGCGAAAGAGGTCGGGGAGGACGACGCGGAGAAGGATGAGCAGCACTTGTGCAGCAGCCTGTGCTCGTAATGGAGCCTGACGCGGCCGCCGAAGCCGTCGTGGGAGTCCGCGATCCGGTGACGGTGCCAGCTGCCACTGGACTCCCGCTGCTGGTCTCTGACGTGGCGGAAGTCCCACACATCCTCCTCCTGAGAGGCAAGGAACTCCGACCTTAGAAACAAACAATGCCCCCCATCGTCATATAATCATCGCCATGCTAGAACCCTTGCTGTTGCCGCCGTAACCACGATCCATATCTACCATCAGATAATCGTACGCATCCGCATCAGCATCTTCATCTTCATCGTCAGCAGCGTCATTGCATTTCGCCCGCTTCGTCTTCCCGTTGTTGCCTCCTGCTGCCCTGGCTTATCCAACTCGTTATCATCCTCCTCTTCATGATTTTCCTCCTCCCGTTCCTCCTCATCCTCCTCCACCTCCTCCTCCTCCATTCTATCTTTCTCTCACTCGTAATCTGCGTTTCCCTCCTCCTCCTCCTCCTCCAACCTCTCCTCCAATCTTTCATGTTCAATATTCGCTTCCTCATCCCTCGCCTGCTCCTTCTCCTCCTCCTCCTTCTCCTCCGCCTCCACCTGCTCCTCCCCCTCCTCCTCCTCCTCCTCCTCCTCCTCCTCCTCCTACTACTACTACTACTACTACTACTACTACTACTACTACTACTACTGCTGCTGCTGCTGCTGCTGCTGCTGCTGCTGCTGCTGCTGCTGCTGCTGCTGCTGCTACTACTACTACTACTACTACTACTACTACTACTACTACTACTACTACTACTACTACTACTACTACTACTACTACTACTACTACTACTACTACTACTACTACTACTACTACTACTACTACTACTACTACTACTACTACTACTACTACTACTACTACTACTACTACTACTACTACTACTACTACTACTCCTCGTCTGCAGCTCCCACTACTGCTTCCCTCCTCAACATACTCCTCCACGTCCCCCTCGTCCTCATCCTCTTCCTCCTCCTGCTCATCCTCCTCCTCCTCCTCCTCTTCCTCCTCATCACCACCATCACCATCATCACCATCAGCGTCAGCATCAGCATCAGCATCATCATCATCATCATCATCATCATCACCATCAGCATCATCATCATCATCATCATCATCATCATCATCATCAGCAGCATCATCATCATCACCATCAACATCATCATCTCATCATCAGCATCAGCATCAGTATCATAATCATCAGCAGCAGATTCATCATCATCGGCATCATCACCACCACTACAATCAGCATCATCAGCAGCAGCAGCATCAGCACCATTTTCATCATCATCACCATCAATCACAACATCAGCATTAGCATAATCATCGTCGCCATCATCTCATCATCAGCATGATCAGCATCAGCATCATCATCAACATCAACAGCATTATCATCAGCATCATCAGCATCTTCAGCATGATCATCATCATCTTCATCATCACCACCACCACCATCATCATCATCGTCATCATCATGGTCATCGTCATCGTCATCATCATCATCCTCATATGCATCATCATCACCACCACCACCATCAGCACTATCATAAGCAGCATCACCATCCTCATCAACAAAACCAACAGCAGCATTAGCATAAGCATCATCAGCGTTACCATCACCACAACCAAAATCACCATCACCATCAGCAGCAGCGGCATCATCATCAGAATCATCTTCATCATCATCAGCAGCATCATCATCCTTATCATGATCGTCATCATCATCATCATCGTCGTCGTCATCATCATGATCATCATCATCATCATCAGCAGCATCATCATCATCAGCATCAGCATCGTGATCGTCATCGTCACTATCATCATCATCGTTTTCAACGGCAACAACAGCAAGAGCAACAACAACATCATCAGCAACAGCATCATCAAACACATCATTATCACCTCCGTCATCATCACCATCAGCATCAGCATCGGTATCATCATCGGCAGCTGTAGCAGCAGCATCAGCATCATGACCTGCAGCAGCATCATCAGCATCAGCATCATGCGCCTCCCATCATCCTGCTCCTCCGAACACATCGATTCAATATGATCCGCCGCCTGACCACGATCGCCCGAAAGATGAGCGAACCCATCGAGCCCCAATCGATCTAGCCCAAGGCCGCAAGTCGGCAGACAGACCAGCAAAAAGCCTATCATGGCGTGAGTGCTGCAACTTTCAGGCAGCCGTGCAGTCGCAGCCTCCTTCGCCCTCCTCGTTATCCATCCCCCTCATCCTTATTATCCTCCTCCTCCTTCTCCTCCTCCTTCTCCTCCTCCTCCTCCTCTTGCTCTTGCTCCTCCCCCTCCTCTTCCTCCTCCTCCTCCGCCTCCTCCTCCTCCTCCCCAAATCCTCCTCCTGCACTGACCGCCATATAATCATTATCGTCATCATACAAATACTCCTCATCCTCCTGCTTTTCTCGATCTCCTCCACCAGCACCCTCCGAGCATGGGCGGCAGAACTACTGGAAAGGATCCGCTGATCAGGTCTAAACAACCAGCCGGTGCCGCATGGGCATGCCACCACATGCTGGCAGAAGCAGCGCTGCGGACAACGGTTTCCGCAATCCGTGGCGCTGTTGCGCAGCCTCCGGCAGCCGCATGCGTCCGCCACCAGCGGCCCAGCGGGGGAACGCACAGCGGGGACGCTAGGCCAAAACAGCCCTGGGAGCGATGCAGCAGCAACGACGGAAGCGGCAGCCGCAGCGGCAGCGGCGGCAGCATGGCACTACTGGCTGCAGTGCAACGAGCATCGGGGGGGAGCGGTCGGGGCAAGAGCAGCAGGAGCAGGAGCAGGGAAATTGGAAGCAGAAGCGGGCTCAGGATTATTTTTTTGCTCAGCTCAACGCCCGACTCCTCTGCAGGCCTGCTTGTAGCAGGCTTAAACTCGTGCCGCAATAGAGGGAAGTGCGGCAGAGCTAAGAAAATCTAGAAGAGCCCACCGCCGTATCTGTTGAAGGAGGCTGGGGCGCTCTTCGAAAATCAAATCAAGTATTAAAACATCGTGTCAGGTTGTTCGTTTCCACCGTGACTCCGAACTTCTGTTTGCTATAGTGCGGGTGGCGGCCCTTGCACAAAGCCTCCCACCCATAGTGAGCAGCCCGGGAGGGAGGGGGCTCGCAGCGCGCCCCGAGACCCCGAACCGAAGCCCCACTCGAATGGCACTTGCAGCGCGTGCAAATGAACAGAACCGAGCCGTCCGAGCAATCAAACGCAACGGTGCGATGCTCGAGCTGATCCTGCCTGGCAGCGTGGAGCTTCGAAAACTCGGAGCACCTGCCTGGCGCAGGGCGCTCCGAAGCTCGTGAGCCCCGCAGGCAGACGGCACAACGCCAGATGCCAGACCAACGCTCCCATCTATGGCCGGGTCCCTGGGAAACAGGAAGGTACGGAACCCGCTCCGCCGAAGACACATCGATGTCTGGCCACAGATGGAGCAGATTGGCGGCGAGCGCACTTGGTAGCGTCCAAAACCTGGAGAGCAAAGAGGCACTCACACTGGAAAGCTTTCCTGGAGAGCTCTGGGGAGCTCTCCAGAGGCGCTTCTGAAGCGCTGCCAGGCACGCTTCCACGCGTGCCTGCACGCGTGCAGGCACGCGTGGACGCGTGCCGGAAGCGCTCCCGGACACGCTGCGACCTCACACAACTTTCTGCGACGATTCTGGACCGCCGTGGAGGAGCTGCTGGCAGGCACCACCACCGTCCGGCTTCTAATCTAAAACCCTATAGCTTTCAGAGAGCTCTCCGGGAAAGAGTAGCACGAGCTTGCTCGACAAGCATGTGCGCCGCCTCCAGCTTGTCGGGGTCCCTCGGGTGGAGATCGACAGCCAGCTTCGCACTGATGTCGGCGTGATGGTTGTCCATGCGCCTCCAGCGTTCGGATACGTCGATCCCGGCCTCATCGATATCGCGATGGGCGGCGACCTTGAAACACGGCGATGGTTGAGCACCCTGTGCGAAAATCTGCAGGAAGGCACCCGAGTAAACTCGCTTGCCCGACAACTGCTCGCCCCGAGGACGACACGCTAACTTGACCACATTTTCGCAATCAGAATAAACAGAAATGCGATCTGAGGCCAAAACATTCGCCCAAGTGAAACAGCTAAACTCTGCACTCTGGGGTGTCTGGGGATACGGAGCCCAGACCGGAGCACGAAACTCCGCGATGCGATCACCAGCATCGTCAACCATGATGACGCTGCTGGCAGCTCTACTGAGCTCCCGGATGGGATGCCTGGCACACGAGCCGTCTACGAAGAGGCTTCCCCACAACTCGGTGCCGGGGCGCTGCCCATTCGATTTCACGATATCTCCACGGTGCCACACAAGGACAGGGCCATCGTCGAGCTCCGTGAGGGGACGGGGGTAGGAGTCGGCAGGATGGCGAAAAGACCCAGAGATGAAAACGAAGACGTCGTCCCCAGCCGCCTTAGCTGCCAAAGCTGCTTCGACGATGCTGGCGTCCACTAACTCAGCGCGAAGCTCGGCGGCAGGCCCATGGGAGCACTCCCAGAGCCGGTGGAAGATGGTGTCCTAGCAGCCGCAAAAAAGGACAAGAATCTTCGACAAGATATCCTAGAGATTTGGCCCGGAACCCAGTGAAAGAAAGCCTCGGTAGCAAAAAAAATAATCCTAGCCTTTTGTAAAGCCGTGTATTTCTTGCTATGCAACGCCTCGCGGACGATGTCATCGCAGACCCGAGGAAGCACCCCCCGCTTTTCCCCGGAATCTCTTTCCAGCATTCTGAAATAGCAGTCCTTGAGCATGAGCCTGGTGAGGGCCGGGGAGAGGATTCCAAGGGGGAGGCTAAGGCCACGATCATCAATCAACGTCATGAAGTTTTCCATGCGCCACCACAAGCGAACCAAGGACATACGCAGGGCGCTGATGGGGCCCGCAACCTGCCTCCAAGAGCAGGCGGGATTTCCGAACACCGACTCCCAAGCTTGCCTCAAGGTGGGGAGGGGGGTGGCCCATTGATAGGCAGGCGTCTGGCTAAGCCATATCTCCTTGGCCCAGCGCAGGATGGGAGAAACAGCAGTGCGCCACGTGGGGTGGTCATCTAAAATGGCGGGAGTTGTAACGACCGGAGCTTCGAGCACGGCCTGACACATGAAAAAAATGTCCGCCGGAGGAGCAAGAGGTCTCGATCGCTCGTGCCCGTGACCTCGGACCCGTAGGACGCCCCCGCGAGAGGCCCAGACGAGAAGACGCTGATCACCGCAGACCTGTTGAGCACACGATGTTGCTTTTTAAGCTGGCGAGCACAACGAACAGCTTTCGCCAATCGAGCTTTCATCTTGGCCGACCGGCCAGCAACCCTAACAGCACGGCCGGCCGTATAGTCAATGCCAAGATTGACCGCACTGTCCGTGAACTTACCTCCGAGAGCCTGCAGCTGCGACGAGATGTGGTCACCTAGCTCCTCAGAGGACGCCACGATAGCGGCCTTGTCCAGAGCGAAAGAACAACCGAATACTTTCTCTACCACTAACTGCAGCTCCCCAGCTCCGCTGACGACCGCCTTGGACACCCGATGTGGCAGGTCGGTGCACGAAAGCCCTTGGTCATCAATGTAGACGTCGAGGTCGAGATTGCGACGAGGAGTGAGAGAGTCATACCCGTCTTGGCAAAAAATCCGAATGAACGACGTAGCCATGGAACAGCCGGCAATGACTCCGTTGACGCAGAAGTAAGGCCCCACCAGCCAGCCTCCAAGACACAGAAACCTGCCGCATCGATACGCATAAATGCACCAGCGGGCGATGACGAAAGGGAGGCCGTGTTTCGTGCATCTCGCGGCCAGTTCAGACAGGCTGATATTCTCATAGAATTTCCGGAGGTCAAAGAGCACGCTACATGAGGCCTCCCCTTTGGCCAGCCCGCTCTCGGCAGCGAGAGCCTGACGCCACACCACGTCAGTCGCACCCCTAAATTGGCCAGCAGCCCAGTACCTCCTGGGGTGTTCCTGCTTCCAGTCCAGGGCCATGGGGCGCCTGCAGCGGCCCCAGATCCTAAACCAGGAGCAGAACACCCCAATAGGTCTGTAGCCGCCAGCCTGCTTAGGAAGGAGAGCGAGAAGAACCACGGAGATCTGGGGAGGGAGGCACCCGACAGCCTCCATCACAGAAAAGACCGAGCTGAGCACTTCGAGCGCACTGACCGAAAGCAGGGAGAAGTGGCGGCAATGGAAGCCATCAACCGACACCGCCGAAGCGGGCTCAGGAAGAGGAGGAGGAGGAGGACGAGTAGGAGGAGGAGGGGGAGGAGGACGAGGAGGAGGAGGAGGAGGAGGAGGAGGAGTGGGAGGAGGAGGGAGGAGGAGGAGGAGGAGGAGAGGAAGAAGAAGAAGAAGAACAAGAAAAAGGGAAGGGGAAGGAGAAGAAGAAGAAGAAGAAGAAGAAGGACCAACAGATTGCGAAACGACATCTTCCATGCGCGACATCGCGCCCGAAGGGCTTGCCTGTGTTGGCGAGGGTGGCAATGGTGCTGCGCACGGTCGCCAGCCCCGCCGAAGTCCAGGGGAGCACGCTCTGCCTGGGGCTGCAGCAGCGATGGCGATCGCGCACCGCGTTCCAAGCCTGAGCAGGGCCACTGCTGGGCGAATTGCGCACACAAGACAGCGTGGAAAAGGAGAGGACGGCCGCAGAAGCCACCCCTGCACATCGTGTCACCGGTCCTCCCTGGCCCTGCGCGACGGAGGGAAGAAACAGGGAGAAAGAAAAAGAAAGAGAGAGGGAGAGAGAGAGAGAGAGAGAGAGCGCAAGCTGCCAGCTGGCCGCCTGCTCCTGAGCCTCGCACTGCCCGGGGGAAACGGCGATCCTTGAGCCCCCTGGCGAACCCTCCTCGAGGACACGGTGATCGGCGTGGACGGCGGCTGGGGAAATTGGCAAGGGCCCACGTTTCTGATTTGCCTTGTCCCTCACCTCCACAATCACCTGTCGATACACCAATTCATCCAAAACTCAACGTGACCAGCGCGAAATCACGCACGCGCTCCAAGTCATCCTTCAGTTTTGAAGGGGCCCTGGGACACAAAAATAAATACACACAAATAATGGTTTTTTGCCTTCCCCCCACTTTCCGTATTTTCCCGTATTTCCTTGAACATCGACGATTAATTGTGTCTGTGTGTGTTTTTCCCCCCCTGAAGTTTGTCACCGACCGCGTGGCACGTACAGTACGTGAGAACCTCGTGATTGATTGCGAGGGAGCGCGCCGTGACAGCTTCCTTTGCTGCTCATGCTGGCTGAGCCCACCTCGGTTCAAACCTGACGAGGTTGCTGCACAACACACCATCGAACTTCTAAGCCATATGCATGTCACGAACTCTCATTCCTTGCACTTCGATGGAGCGCCATATCGACGTAAGCGAGTCTCGTCAAGTGCCCATGCTCTCGGAGACGGCCAGCACATGCATGTCACCAGCCGAGGGCGAAGGGGGCAGGGCAAACCACTCCAATGTCGGAGCGATGAGCACCAATCCCATGTGGTGGAGCGCGCTTCCAACTTTCGGGAAGACCTGATACAACCAGGAATGGGCACACACCCAGTAGAGCAGCAGTGCCGTCGCAAAGTGCGCGACGAAGGGACGGGCCAGGAAGACGCAAAACCATGCACAGCGCGCCGCAATGGATCCGAAAAGCCACCCGCGGCATCGCCGAGAGAGCCTCGGTGCACCACCACGGAGGACGGGAAAGCACCTGACGTCGCAGTGTCGATCCT